GAAATGCTAAGCATTAAGGTAGGGAACATGGGAACTAAACCAAAGATCCCAGTAGTTGCGTTTTCCACCACGGAGGCGCTGAGGTGATATAAAGCACCAAGAATGTAACCACACAAACCCATCAACTGTCCATATGCTGAAAACCAAAGTATTTCTTACTATGGGTATTAGAATTTTCACTCATATGCAGATAATCCCATTTATAAACAAATGTATATTAAAATATAATTTTTAAGCCTATAGAAGCTTCTACTATTATAACACACCTACTGATACTAAATAAAAACTGCTATCATGAAATAAAAATCCAACACTTTAAAAAGGCACTTATATTTAAAGCGTCCGAAACTACTAGTATAGTCAATTCCTGAAACCCTTCCAAGTCTAAGACCTATAATTTAGAGCCCATTATTTCTTTATTTCATATTGAATTTAACAGTTAAATATTACCAACTATAATTATCACAGCTTTTAATGAAAGAGTTAAAACTCTGTAGATTTAACACAAAGGCAGGTAAGAAAGCTGGCTATATAAATTACTAGGAGTTTAAAAAATCAACCCTGAAGGTGTGTCATGGTGCACACCTTTAGTCCCAGCACTTGGGGGGGCAGAGACAGGTAGATGTCTGTGAGACTGAGTCTAGCTAGGACTACAGGGAGACGCAGTCTCAAAAAGACCAAAAAACAAAAATTAAAAAATTGAACTTGATAATATAGTTATTAAAACACAAAATTACTTATTGTAAATTAAATAATTTTACATTCCTCATTTAAGATAATAATATTCAATAACAAAATGAATCATCTTTTTTTTTTTTTGTCTTTTTGAGGCAGGGTCTCCCTGTAGCCCCAGCTGTCCTGGAACTCACTATGTAGACTAGGCTGGCCTCGAACTCACAAAGATCTGCCGGATTCTGCCTCCCAAGTGCTGGGATTAAAGGTGTGCGCCACCACACCCAGCAAAATGAATCATCTTAACTTAAATAAGCACTAGATTGAATAGCAAAATTCCTCATAGGTTCAAACCATAACCCCCTATGAAGATGTAATGTGAATTTGTTAATTCAAATATTTTGGTTTCTAGAAATGGAAATGCAAGAAATTCCTGAGAACAGCCTAAATTCTATTAAAAACTTAATAAAATCTTTTTCTTTAAAAAAATATTTTTTTCTATATGGGGAAAACTGAACCTTCTGATTAGGAAAAGCATTACCATCGAGTCACAGTCACAGCCCAACGTTTTTATGATACTAAATATGTCAATAATGGAACACCTGGAGATTTTATAAAGGCAATAAATATCAACACATCTGTGGTTTTCTACTAAGTTCAAATTCGTATTATCTAAAAAGATTGTATTTTCTCTTCTCAAACATCCCACAATGCCAACCACTGCCTCCAAAAATATCTGTTATTTCATAACCTGTCTAGAGAAGCCAGGAACAAATTACAGCAATTTCTACTACCTTCCAACTATTAAAATTTATCTACATTGGTGTCTATCTTCTTCCTTTAAGATAAAAAGTCTCTATCTTCATATTTTTATTTATTTTTAGTATTTTATTTATCATTTATTATTTATTTTTTCATTTTAGGTATATGAGTATATTACCTGCATGTGTGTAGGTGTACCTTTGTTGTGCAATGCTCCCAGAGTTCAGAAGAGGGTGTCGGATCTCCAGGAACTGGAGTTATAGATGGTTGTTAGTCACCATGTGGGTGCTGGGATTCAAACCCTGGTCCTCTGCAAGAGCAGTCAGTGCTCTTAAACACTGAGCCATCTCTCCAGTCCCTCTATCTTACTATTTTAGACAGGGAGTCTAAAATCTACCACCTTTTTGTTGTTGTTATTTTTACATTACCAGTCTTTACCAATAAATTCATTACCAAAAGTACATATAAAAATATTGCAGAATGATGTGACCAAGCTGAGAAACCCCTTAGTTGACTTCTCTCCCTCCTTTAAGTACCATGCAAATCTCCACCCCAATTCATATACATGCTATTTTGATGCCTTGACCTCCCAATGGAATTTAACATTTTCTCATGACACTAAAACACCTTGAGTCAACAATAACCTCCATGTGCGCAAACAAATTTTCTTGAACTTGACTTCCACACTTCTGTGATTCAGCTTATTTGAATTGCTGCTTTCATCTACTAAAAGTTTAAAACATCTACTTTTGAATAAGTAATACATTGATATGCTTGGAAAGTATAAAAAGGAATATAGAGAAAAGTCTTTCATAATGTCCACTGAGTGTCTACCACCAAACTACTGTTAACTTTCTTTCTACGCTCTCAGGACCTTTGGACAAATAAGCCAATACATCTATGTGTTTCTAGTTTCTCCTTGCTTTTACACAAATGGTGCTATGTCATTGTATACACTTTGGAGATCTTTCTACATCATTAAATAGTGTTCACATCCTTTTTGGTAAATCTTTCATACAACACTGTAAATTACACAACTCAGTTCTTTTTAGTAGATTCACAGCTGTACAATTAAGATCACCAATTCTTTTTTTTAAATATTTTATTCATTATTTTATTTTACGTATATGAGTGTAATGCCTGCATGTAGGTAGGTGCACCCATGTCATGCAATGCCCACAGAGGTCAGAAGAGGGCGCCAGATCCCCTAGACCCGGAGTTACAGACAGTTGTTAGCCACCACGTGGGTGCTGGGAATTGAACCCGGGTCCTCTGCAAAAGCAGTCAGTGCTCTTAACCACTGAGCCATCTCTCCAGCCCAAGATCGGCAATTCTAAAAACATTTTAATCACCCCTAAAAGAAGTCCCACACCCATGAAGTTATTCCCTAGTCCCTGCTCTACTGTCTTCCCAGTCCTTACTCCCACTCTTAGATAGCTCTTCTAAATGGAATCATACACATAAAATAAAAATAAAGAACCATCAAGCTATAATTTTATTTTATCACATAATATATATGCATGGATTGTGCAGGGGTCAAACCCAAGGCCTCTTGCATGCTAAGTACATGCTTTACTACCTATAAATGTCAAACAATACTCCTTTGTTATGTTTTTGTTTTTGTTTTGAGACAGGGCTGGCCTTAAAGTCAGAGATCCACCTGCCTCTGCCTCCCAGATGCTGGGATTAAAGGCAAGCACCACCACACACAGATCAACTGACAACTCTTTTAGAACAAGAAGATAATAACAAGTCAGAAAGAGGAAAACCTTACAAAAGTGGGAAAGGGAGGCTAGAGAGATGGCTCAGCAGTTGAAATCACTGGCTGCTCCTGCAGATGACCCAGGTTTGGTTCCAAGCATCCACACGGCTAACAATGGTCAATAACTCCAGTTCTAGCAAATCAGATGACCTCTTTTTGACTACATGAGCCCTGCAGGAAATATGGTGCACTTACATATTTGCAGGCATAACACTCACCCATATAAAATTTAGTTGTTGTTTTTTTTTTAATGTGTATGAGTATTTTGCCTGTATGTATGTGTCTCCATGTACAGAATGCTTGCAGAGCCCAGAAGAGGGTGTCAGATCTCCCAGAACTGGAGTTATACAGTTGTTATCTGCCATATGGGTGCTGGGAACTGAACCCAGGTCCTCTGCAAGAGCAGCCAGAGCTCCTAACTGCTGTACAATCTCCAGCCCCACAGATAAATATAATTTTTCTAATTAATAAAAAAAAGGAAAACCTTCAACAAAATATTCAGTCAATACATATGGACTAAAAATTCTATACGGGCAGTCAACACATTATGGATAGGCCATTTCCCTACACAGACAAAAATATCAAAAAAGCAGAATTATAGATATTCAATTCTAAGTCATAGTTTGATTAAAGTTTTTCCGGGGAACTAATGAATTTACTACGCTTACTTACTGAGATGACTGAGGGATTGCTGAGGTGTATGAATGACCTGAAGATATGCACACTGGAAAGCCTTTACCCAGCATGGATCAAGCCTTCTCTTCCCCAGATTATATACTTTAGTCATCCCCAAATCCAGGAGACCATGTGTGATTAGAGCCAAATTATATACATTTGGCTGTGAAGAGTGGCTGGATACTCCACTGAGGTTTCTTTAATGAAGGAACACAACTGTCAACAAGCCCAATTGTGATGACGTTTAGCAAGCAGACACAGCTGAAGTTGTGACAATGACAGTTATTTGACACAGAAGAAACTGCTGAACAGCATCATTTAAAAGGATTTGGTGCTAGGATCCACAAATGAGGGAGAACAAATGTCTTTTGTTTTTCCGAGTCTGTGTTACCTCACTTAGTATAACAGTTTCTAGATCCATCCATTTACCTGCAAATTTCATTATTTCATCTTTCTTTACTGCTGAAAAGAACTCCATTGTGTAAATATACCACATTTTTGCTAACCACTCCTCAGTTGTGGGCACTTAGGCTGCTTCCATCTCTTAGCGATTGTGAAAAGAGCAGCAACAAACACAGTTGTACAAGTGTCTCTACAACAGGATGAGTCCTTTGGGTATATGCCAAGGAGTGGTATAACTGGGTCATATGGTAGATTCATTTTTAGTTTTTTAAGAGTTCTCCACAGTTTCCCACAGGGGTTGCACAAGTTTGCAATCCCACCACCAGTGAATGAGCTCCCCCTATCTAGAAGCCTTTGAGAGGGAACAGGTACTGGTTCTAGCCACTCCAACAGCTATCACAGTGCCTGAAAACAAATCCTGAGTTCACCACTCTGAGTTCAGCCTTGGCAGACAAAAGAAAAATGAGGCGGAACCCAAGGGAGGGATGCTTTGGAAGCTCTCGTCAAGAAACTCCAATGGACTCTGATATGAACATTTAAAATATTTTTTTAAAAAGAGGAAGCCAGAGCCATGCATTGTAGTATAGGTCTGTAATGCCAGCTCTCAGGAGACTTGAGGTAGGAGGACTGCCTCAAGTTAAGAGGCCAGACTCAGTTCCATAGCAAGATCCCATTTCAATGTCTGCCCCTAAAATGAACCAACTTTCTACATCTTGTAACAGCTCACCTCAGCTGCTGGGGATTTTCATGGATACCAACCACCCAGTAGTGATCAGATTTTCCTTTGCAGTGTTCTCTTGTGTTACATATAGGAGTCCATGTATTACCAAGCCCTCTGTTAAGCATTCGAACACAGCCTTCAGAATCCACGTAACAGGGAGTACCTAAATACCAACAAAAAAAGAAATCACTTGGAAACATGGCTATGTATTGTTAAGAAAGTCTTCTTTCAAAAATACAAGCCAAAGGGGCTAGAGAGAGAGCTTAGTGGTTAAGAACACTGGCTGCTCTTGCAAAGGACCCAGGTTCCTAGCACCCACACTGCAGCTAACAGCTGTCCACACCTTCAGTTCCAAGGGAATCCAACAACCTCTTCTGACCACTGCCCCCCCACCACAGGCACTGCATGACACAAATGCACTTACACACAGGCCAAACACTTGTACACATAAAATAAAAATAAATTTTTTTTCTAAAAATGTCAAGGATTCAGCTTTCATTTCAAAGGTAAAAAAGGGAGGCAAATAATTCTCAACTGCTTTCTGTAAAAGTTCATACCACACAGACCTACCTGAAGAAATAACTCACGTGTAATATGATCAAAATTTACCAAAATAAATTTTTAAAAAAATCTCAGTGAAAGTTATGCCACCTGCTGGAATATAACAATAATTATTTTTAAGACAATCTCAACTTTTTTTCTTCTGAGATAGGGTCTTACCATGTAGCCCCATTTGGCCTAGAACTCACTATGTAGATTATCCCGGGAGGGCCTTGATCTCACAGAGACCTGCCTCTGTGTACTGAGCGCTGAGATACAAGGCAAGCACTACCACACTTGGCTCAATTTCAACTTTAAATTTCACATTTATCTAACTGCCTTTGGTTAAGAAAAACATGGTGAAATGAGCAGCACTTGCTCTGAGGTGAGTTGTACAACATATCTTTGATACTGTTTTTATCTCTTTTCTTTGATGGCCTTGTCACTGCTCTGTCCTGAGCTCCTGGGTAAGTGATTCTTAGGAAATTATCATTGCCCACTGACTCTCCTGCCACCTCGGAAGGCAGAAAGCACCCCCTTTGTTGTCTGCAACCATTTTCCTCAGGTCTAGGTCTGTCTGGTACTTGAGAAACGAAGACAATAGAAATGGAAGTGACTACAGGTGGTGTTATTACGGCATAAATAACCAACAACATACCAATAAGAACAAATTCAGAAATGGCTGACAGATTACAAACAGGTTTTCAAGTAAACCAACTGATAAGGGCATGAATCCATAATAAGAGAAATATTTAAGCCCTGAGAGAATTAGGAAATGCTTTAACATAAGGTACTCTTCTGTGTCCTTGAAATCATAAAGCAGCATCAATGGGTCACTAATACAAATGTCAAAGGGCAAAAAAGAGTATGCCACAAATGTAACTGTAAATCTTGTGATTTTTTTTTTAACTAAGGAATTTTATTTTATTTTTAATTTTCAAAATTTACCTATTTTTATTTTATGTGTATAAGACTGCTTTGCCTGCATACATATAAGTGCACCCATGCTGTGCAATGCCTGTGGAGGCCAGAAAAGACCAGAAGTCAGGTCCCCTGGAACTGCAGTTACAGATGGTCGCTAGCTGCCATGTGGGTGCTAGGAATTTTGAACCCAAGGTCCTTTGCAAGAACAAGTGCTCTTAACTGCTAAGTTATCTATGCAGCCCCCAAAGAAACTTTAATATTTAATCCAATATGCCCAAAATATTATGATTTAACACATAAGCAAATTACTGAGATTTTTAAAAAAAACCCTTTTATTGATTTTTTGGTGAATTTAATACAATATATTTTATATATATCCCCTCCCCTCCAACTATCTCCCACCCAACTCCATGCACTCTTGTACATGCGTGTATGTATGTATGTATGTATATATGTATGTATGTATGTATGTATGTATTAAGGCCTACAGAATGAGGTTTGTATATGTGTGCACACATGCCAGGCAGGCCAGGACTAGGGAAACCCTGTCAAAAAAAAAAAGAAGAAGAAAAGAAAGAGGGGCTGGAGAGATGGATCAGCGGTTCTGACATGGTGGCTACGAACCGTCCTTAACTCCAGTTCCAGGGGAATCCAAAGCCCTCTTCTGACCTCCATGGCACTGCACGACACAGGTGCACTCACATACATGCAGGCAATACACTCATACACATAAAAAATAATAAATTTTTTAAAAAAAGAAGAAAAAAGAAAAGGAAAGAAAAGAAAAGAGAAAGAAATGGCTCGGCAATTAAGAGCATTGGCTGCTCTTGCAAAGGACCAGGGTTCTGTTCCTGGCACCCATATAGTGAAATAGTGAATAACAAAAAGCTCTAACTCCAGCTTTAGGGGATCCAGTGCCCTCTTCTGGCTTCTGCAGAAATTGCATGCACCTACACACAGGCAAAATACTCCTACACATAAAAAATAAAAGTAAGTTGGGTATGGTGGTGCACATTTTTTATTCTAGCACCCGGGAGGCAGAGGCAGTCAGATAGAGCAGCCTGGTCTATAGCCTGTAACATAGTGAGTTCCCAGCCAGCTGGGGTTACAGGGAGACCCCGCCTCAAAATAATTAAATAAATAGATTAATTTAAAATTAAGAAATACAAATATAAAAGTATCTTTAAAGAAATTTATTAGAACTGAAACAGTGAAGTGATTTTCTTCTTGAAAGATGTCTTTAATATGAAGAACGAAATTTATCTTGCCTTCAGCCGAAAACCCAACCCATGTAAGGTAGGATTTCCTTGTCAGTGGAAGAGGGTCACCATGCAAAATTTGTTTTTTCTTTTGCCCCAGCTCTAGCAGTTGAACTCCAAGGCACTGGTCTCCATCAAACCCTGTACCTAGAAAGAATATGTAGATATAAATCAAGACATCAAAGGTTAGCTGGCCATATGCAGTCTCAACTGTTTTCTGTGAATTGATTTTGTGACATTCTTAAACCAGCACTATTTTTATGGTTAACCTATATGAGGACTCATTCAGGTATATTAAAAGCAGAATATGTTACATGGACTATATGAGGACTCATTCAGGTATATTAAAAGCAGAATATGTTACATGGACTATTTATCTTTTTTAAAAAAAATATTTTTATGTGTATGAGTGTATTGCTTGCATGTATGTGAGTGCACTCATGTTGTGCAATGCCACGTAGGTCAGAAGAGGGCTACGGATTCCCCTGGAACTGGAGTTAAGGATGGTTCATAGCCACCATGTGGGTGCTGGGAACGGAATCCGGGTCCTCTATAAGAGCACTCAGTGCTCTTAACTGCTGAGCCATCTCTCCAGCTCCACATGGATTATTTAAATGAAGTGCTTATTCATTCGCTCAAGAACATAATTAGCACCAGGCAATCACCCAGGGAATGAAGCTACAATGTGTGCTGAGGGCAGCAGAGCTTTTGGAAACCAACTAATTATATTACAAGCCCTAGATGCTGAACATGGAGCCTGGTGTTTTCCATGCTGGAGTTTGGTTTTGCTTTGGTATGACTATTTTTTGCTATGCCCTGGTTCTTCCATTTTTGAACATGACTGTTTATTCTTGGCTATCATATGATAGACAACTTATCTTTTATTTTATAGTTCACCATTAAGAGACTTTAGGGTTTAAAAATTTTTTATTTGTAATTATTGTATATGTGCACAAACACATGTGTGTAGATGCATATGCTGTGGCATGTATGTGGAGATCAAAGGACAACTCTTTGGAGTCATCTTTCTTTCCACCTTTTACGTGGGTGTCAAACTCAGATTGCCAGGTTTGTGTAGCAAGTGCATTTACCTTTTAAACAATCTCAATTGCCCAAGACTTTGGACTTTAAATATGCTGGAATAACTAAAGACTATGGGAACTTTTTTTTTTTTAATTTTATGTGTATGAGTGTTATGCCTGCATGTAAGTAAGTGCACCCATGTTGTGCAATGCCCACGGAGGACAGAAGAGGCTGTTGGATCCCCTGGAACTGGAGTTACGGACAGTTGTTAGCTGCCATGTGGGTGCTGGGATTCAAACCCGGGTCTTCTGTAAGAACGGTCAGTGTTCTTAACCACAGAGCCATCTCTCTAGCCTGACTATGGGAACTTTTAAAGTTGGAATAAATGCATTTTACATTATAAAATGGTCATGCATCAATGAGGACAAGTAATAGTAGGTTATGACTTAAAAGTGATGTGTTTGAGCCAGTCGTGGTAGCACACATCTTTAGTCCCAGCACTCAGAGGCAGGCAGATCTTTGTCAGCCTGGTCTACTGAGTTCCACGTCAGGTGGGGCTACAGGGAGACCATGTCTCAAAAAAAAAAAAAAAAAAAAAAAAAAAAAAAAAAAAAGTGATATGTTTGAGTGTCAAGCTGACAAGGGGTAGAGTTATAATACTGTTAATTCTCCATTTGACACTCTAGAGGGGGACAGGCCTCTGCATGTGCCTGTGAGGGATTATCTTGCTTGTATTATTTGAGGCAGAAAGACCTGCCACCCACTAGGGATGCCACCATTCATTCCCTGCTTAGGATCCTGAAATGTATAACCGGAGAAAGAGAACTGAGCAACAAACAACATACACCAATGAAAACAACGCGGACTCATTGCATATTTGATTTAATTAATTTTTGGTTGCTGTGTATTTAGAAAGTGTCTACTGTTGCTACATGTTTGTGACTGCCATTCAGTTCTGCAACCTCATATGGCAGTCACAACCCACAGTTTAAGAAAAATAATGACAGAAGAACAGCTAATGGAAAGGCCCTAAAGCAGAAATGAAATAAGCAAAGAGTTCACAGAATGGAGTGGCCAACAGAACACAGCATGAAATATGGTAGTAAGACATGAGGTTAAAGAAACAAAGCTGAGATCATGAAGGAGCAGTACAACACCTTGCGAAGACAAGTAGCTTGACTGCTACTCTAAAAATGAAGTGATGTCAGATTTACACAGAAAGGGGAGATGGTGTATGCTTTTAAAAAAGCACACAGGGGCCAGGCGTGGTAGTGCACGCTTTAATCCCAGAACTTGGGAGGCAGAGGCAGGCAGATCTCTGTGAGTTCAAGGCCAGCCTGGTCTACATAGTGAGCTCCAGGGCAGCTGGGGCTACAGGGAGACCCTGTCTCAAGAAAACCGAAAAAAAAAAAGCATCCAGGCTTCTGTGTAAAGAACAGACAGGAACTGGAGCCAGAAAACCTTAGGAGGCTTTGATAATCTGACATGACATATGACTGGGAGTTAGTATATGCAATAAAACAAGACAGACGCAGAATGGCTGCTCTATAGAACTGACACAATGATGATTTTACTACCATGGCGTGTAGGTACGTGGTTTGAGCATTTGTTTTTGGTTTTTTTTTTAGTCTTTCTGAGACAGGGTCTCCCTGTAGCCCCAGCTGACCTGGAACTCACTATGTAGACCAGGCTGGCCTTGAACTCACAGAGATCTGCCTGCCTCTGCCTCCTGAGTGCTGGGACTAAAAGGCGTGCATCACCATGCCCACTTGCATGGATGGTTAACATGCCATTTGCTGAGGTGATGAAACTATGTAAACAGCAAGTTAGGAATTTAAAAAAAAAAAAAAAAAAAGGTATTACTTTTATGGCCAAGTTGGGCACACATATGCTTAAGACCATAATTTTTGAGAAAATTCCCTAAAGCAGTGTTTCTCAAAACTGTATGGTATCAATTTCGAGCTACAACCAACACTTTAAAAAAGTGAAATCAAAAAGTAAATATTGTCCATGAGAATTTTATTTCAGCTACACTTGTAAATATATACAAAATGGCAAAGGAAAATCTATTTTTTACTGTGGCTATGCCATCAACGGACAAAAGGCCCTGACCTTCAGAGAGGACCAGGGAAGAGAGGGCTAACTCCAGCAAAAAGGTCAGCATAACAAGAGGAGCCAGCTCAAGTGGTAAAAAAGAAGAGTTAACCACAGAGCCATCCACATTTTTCCAAGTGAGGAAAAAAACAGGGAAAAGGATGTCATAGGGGCCAAGAAAGGCAGTGCTTCAAACAGAAGCTTCAAACCAACCAACCAGACAAAGAAAACCTCGATAAGGCCTGTCTTAATGAGTGGAGAATGAAGACAAAAAGTGAGAAAAAGCAACTTCTGAAAGTCATATCTGTGGCTGTTTTGGTCCTTTACACTAGGAGTTATAACTTAGAGATATTTAACCTAAATGACACGTTTTCCAAAAGATGATTTATATATGGAAATAATCAGGTTTTACCTTGGAATTCTCTATAATACAGTTTATAAATAGAGTATTCTCATTTTCCTTGCTATTGGTAAATACAGCAAAATTCTCTACATCCAAAGACTATACTGACACAAATACTATAAAGGAAGTATATAATCCCAAACAAAAAGAAGCTTAAGTAATTTCCATTTTAATTTACATCATGGTAAAATTATAAAACTGGAAAAAAGCCTACCTCTGTGATAAACAATGAAAAGTTGGTCTCCGTGTCCTGCCATAGACACCACAGGTCCAGGAAGGCAGAAGACCTCTTTCTGAACCCCTCCAATTGTAAATAATCGAAGGAGCAAGGTACTAGTGGCAGCAGCAACCCATCCTTGACCAAGACATATGGCTTCAATGTCCTCGCTCTGAGGCATATCAACTACCCACTCTTTACTTGAATCCCAGGAACTGAAGTGCAGGCAATGAAGCTTGCTGAAAAGTAAAACAAGGCAGAAACAAATCCAACTGTTACATATTTTCATATGTAACTAATCATGATAGCAACAGTTTATTTTTCTACTTAAATGATTCTAAAGAAAGTAATCGTGTGTGTGCATATGCATGTGTGTACTAGGGATACAGCCACTGCCTTGAACATGCTAAGCAAGCACTCTACAACCCCGTTACATCCCAAACCCATGAAATAACCTTAAAATGATCTATGTAAAAACAGTTAAGTCATATTTTGGAAGAATATTTGAAGATATAAAATAAGGTTAAATGGAAAAAAGGAGGCTAAAGGCTCTAAAGTGTGATTCTATGTCATAAATGCACACATACCCACAGCTAAGACTTTTTTTAAAAAGTGTCAAAACATTAAGTAATAGTTCTCTCACTGAAAAAAAAGGAATTGTCATGAAAGTCCAAACAGAGGAAAGAAAAGAAAAACAATCACGCATAATACCATCATTAAGACTATTACACTGCTAGAAACGCATACATTTCCAGCCTTCTCTCTTTATGCATTTGGAATGCAGATACCATAAAAATTGAAATCAGAGGCAGTAGTGATTCTTTGAATAATTTAGTATTTGATTTTAAAATAAAACAAACATTATATAGAGCCATGAAATATGTTTAAGGAGAACAAAGAGAAGAATATCTACCTATCAAAACATGTAAGGAAAACCAAAATTTTAAGCAAAACCAGAAAATTGATAAATATCACTGGTTTATTTATTTTATTTTTTGGTCTTTTTGAGACAGGGTCTCCCTGTAGCCCCAGCTGCCCTAGAACTCAATGTAGACCAGGCTGGCCTTGAACTCATAGAGATCCGCCTGCCTCCGTCTCCCAAGTGCTGGGACTATGGGCTTACAACACCATGCCCAGCTTAAATATCACTTTTTTTGATGTTATTTTCCTTTTTAAAATTTATTTTTCACTGGGCATGGTAGTGCATACCTTTAATCCCAGCACTCAGGAGGTAGAGGTAGGTGACCTCTGTGAGATCAAGGCCAGCTTGAGCTACATAGTGAGTTCCAGGCCAGATGGGGTACACAGAGACCCTGTCTCAAAAACAAATGAGAGAGAGAGAGAGAGAGAGAGAGAGAGAAGAAAATCTTTTGTCAAAGAGAGAGAACAAATCTTATAGTGGGAAACAAAACAAAACCCCAGGTCAATAGCTATCCAAGGCTACGACTGAATAAATCTCAAGGAAATAATAAAAGATATTCTATATTGATTATAGTAGTAGTTAGCTATGTATATAGAGATCCGTCTGAAATACAGGCATATTTTATTGCATATACATTATACTACAATAAGATAAATTTTAAAAGGAGTGGTTTCATAGAAAGATATCTAGAGGGCTAAATAGGAGTAGTTACATCTGCTGGGTGTGATGGCACATACCTTTAATCCCAGCACTTGGAGAGGCAGAGGCAGGGGAATCTCTGTGCATTCAAGGTCAGCCTGGTCTACATAGTAAGTTCCACGTTAGCTGTGGCTACATGGAGACCCTATCTCAAAAAAACCATCTGAGAGTAGAATTCTGAGGGAACTTTTTCTAAATATTCTAAACTTTTTTCAGTGAATGTTACTGTTCCCATAACAATACTAACAATATAAAATAAAACCTCATCTCTCACATTATAAATTACATCACATCACTTTATCATTTTGATATGTAGATGATGTAACAAGGAGACAATCAGAGCAAAACAGACACGTGTTCTGAGGCACTATGCTGGTGTTTGGACCAAGCTCTTCTTTCTGGTATTCCATACTACAAAAGATATCATTTGAGGACAGGTGTGATGGCACACTCCTTTGATCCCAGAACTTGGGAGGCAGAGGCAGGAGGGTCTCTGTGAGTTCAAGGCCAGCTGGGGCTACAGGCAGACCCTGTCTCAAAAAGTAAAAAAAAAAAAAAAAACCCAGGGGCTAGAGATGGCTCAGCGGTTAAGAGCACTGACTGCTCTTACAGAGGACCCAGGTTCGAGTCCCAGCACCCACATGGTGGCTACGAACCATCCTTAACTCCAGTTCTCAAAAAGACCAAATAATGATGATAATAATAATAATAAATAAAATATTTTTAAAAAACCCAAAAGATTTAATTTGATCTAACACTTTAATAATGCCAAACTTCCAAATAATCTTGACTTTACCTGGCTAGGTCATCAGTGCTTTCACATGCCAACAAAATAGCTTCATGGGAAAGATCTGCCACTGTGTAGTTCAAAGTGTTTGATAAGTGTGTGGCGTGGTGTATGGAGGTGTCATGGAACTCCACATCAATGGCATTGTCCTGCTCATCATTGTAACAGCGAATAATTCCAATAGAGTTCCACACCTAGAGTATGGAGAATCAATAAGAACAGGACCTCCTATAATCTATACCAGGAGAGTACAAATTTAAATATCAAGTTCAAATTGTATCAAGGTTCAAGTTAAGGGAATATTTTATCTAACTCAAAATCGTTTCAGGTAGCAGCAGTAATACCAGAGTGATAATTATTAATTATTCCCTTCCTTATAAGAAGGCACTTAGCAAATAAGGTATTTAACATTTAAAAAATTATATTACTATCATTAAAAAAGTACTTAACAACAAATCAAACTCTTTAAAACAAGTATTTCAATCTTGACTTTCTGTACAGATATAGATGTCAACAACAACAGATTTTTTTTTTCTTGTTCCAACTACCTGTTTATATTACAGGAAAAAATACATATATTATAAGGCAACATAAATAATTACTATTTGGAAAGTTTATCTTCCACTGATGTATATTATAGGCTTACACTATGCCCTAGTATTTCTAATAAAATTGGTGTATTATTTCTACAGTAATGTTTATAAATAAAATATTGACACTGCCAGATGGGGTGGCATATGTCTTTAATTCCAATACTCAGAAGGCAGAGGCAGGCAGATCTCTCTAAGTTCAAGACCAGTCTGATCTACGTAGAAAGACCTTGTCTCAAATAAATAAATATATATATGTGTGTGTGTGTATAAACATTAGTAATAATATGTATTTCTTGATGAGGATTACTAACACTACAAACAGCAATAACGCTTTATTATTTTTTTAATAAATATTTTTTTTATTATTTTTATTGAAGAGGCTGTCGGATCCCCTGGAACTGGAGTTAGGGAGAGTTGTTAGCTGCCATGTGGGTGCTGGGATTTGAACCCGGGTCTTCTGCAAGAACAAGCAGTGTTCTTAACCGCTGAGCCATCTCTCCAGCCCAAACACTTTATTATTTAACTTCATTCTTACTTAGTATTTACATTAAAATATGTACCAAGACATATTTCAATAAAAACCAACAAACAATAGTTCAATAAAACCAACAAACAAAATTTTCAGAATGGAAATCTTCAAATAACCAACAAATAAAATAAAAGTACTAAACTTTATCAGCTCTCAAACTTGCAGGAAAAATGTGTGTGCATGCATGCGTGTGTGTGTGTCTGTATAAAAACGAGAAATAAGGTTTGGAAATATTCCAAGAAGTATTACAAGAGAGTCATATTTATTTAGATTCATTATGTCATTTTGTAAATCAGAATTTTAACAAGATTTTCAATAAGAATGTTGAAATAAGATTAAAATTATTAGTTAACCATAAATCAACCATAAAATTACAATCATCCAAAATGCTTCAGTCCACTTAATCTAGGTTTTTAAAATTGTTTTTTAATCCAATAAACCACAATGAGAAAAAAATGCTGAAACTCTATGTAACAGTTAAGCGTAGACCTAAGGCTTACCATGAATCTATGAGTGAGATGCAAGGGTGTAGAACTTGGCTGGAATGGCTTTTGTCGGGGAGTTGGCATGGGCCCATCATAAAATGGCCTTTGGGATTTTATAAGGGGTAGACTGTGAATATTGCCTGCCTGATCATCTTCTTTCTCTTCTTTGAAAAGACCAGTTTGTAGCACTGTAGCATCTACAATACAAAGAATTACAAAAGAATAAAAAAATACTACTGACCTAGAAAAAGAAGCATTACAAAAACTGTCATGGTGACTTTCCTATTTATATTTAATGATAGTTAATTGATTTCATGTGATTGACACAATACTTGCCTCTTCCACTCTCCTAAAGAAATGTAAAAATGAGGCTGGAGAGATGGCTCAGTGGTTAAGAGTGCTGGAGGCACTTGTAGAGGACCTGGGTTCGATTCCCAGCACTCACATGGTGGCTAACAATCGTCCATAAGTCTAGTTCCAGGGGAATCTGACACTCTCTTCTGACCTTCACCTGTACTGCATGACACAAGTGCACTTACATACAAGCAGAAAATACACTTATACACATAAACTGAAAATAATAAATAAAATTGGATCTTAGGGAGTTCAAAGCCAGCCTGGTCTACAGAGTGAGTTCCAGGACAGCTGGGGAGCTGGGGCTACAGGGAGACCCTGTCTCAAAAGACCAAAAAATAAAATAAAATAAAATAAAATAAAAGTAAAGTAAAACAAAACAAAACAAAATAAAATAAAATAAAATAAAAAAAGAAAGCCGGGCGTGGTGGCCCATGCCTGTAGTCCCAGGACTTGGGAAGCAGAAGCAGGCAGATCTCTGTGAGTTTCAGGCCAGCCTGGTCTACATAGTGAGTTCCAGGACAGCTGGGGCTACTGGGAGACCCTGTCTCAAAAAAACCAAAAGAAAAAGAAAAAAAGAAATGCAGAAATGAGCCAGGCATGGCAACCCCATACCTTTAATCCCAGCACTCAGGGGGCAGAAGCAGGCAGATCTCTGTAAGGCCAGACTGGTCAACATAGTGAGTTCTGGGCCAGCTGTGGCTCCAAGGGAGACCCTGTCTCAAAAAAACCAAAAGAAAAAAAAAAAAAGAAAAAAGAAAGGAGGGAGGGAGGAAAGGAGGGAGGGAGAAATAATGCAAAAGCAGCTGGGCATGGTGGCTCTTGCCTTTAATCCCAGCACCTGGGAGGCAGAGGCAGGGGGAACTTTGTTAGTTTGAGGCCAGCCTGGTCGACATAGTGAGTGCCAGGACAGCTGGGGCTACAGGGAGACCTTGTCTCAAAAAGACAAAAAAAAAAGAACTATAATGATTATTGTGAAAAAAAAAATAATGTGAGCAATGTTTTGAGTTGTAAGATGAACTAATGGATTTTTTTTTCACAAAAGGCCAGCTGAACTATAATTACACAGACTTGGATATGTGGCCAACATTTTCTGGAAATGAATGAAGTGAGCCTGTCATGTAATAAAAATAACTGCAAGAATTTGTTGATAATGATAAAATCTGAGCATCCAAGCAAAAATTAAAAGACTGAAAAATTTATATTTTGCCACCATGAGATTTACTACTTTCTAATATTTAAAAACTTCTGGTAAGACTGAAAGTAGTACTAACAAATATAGTATACATTTATATTGAACAATGAAATATCAGTATGAAGGCTTGTAAATCTCAGGGAGCTAGTATTTTCTAAATTAAAGGCCTATACTACAAAATAAAACATAGCCAAAATATTTTATTTCAAGTTCAAGTTAGAGCAATGGATTTAAATTGAATAGAGTTAGTGGAAAGAGCTCATTTCAGTTTAAAGATTCCAAATTGTAAGCAAACTTTAAGAAACTATTATCCAGGCCAGGCATGGTGGTGCACACCTTTGATCCCAGCACTGGGGAGGCAGAGGCAGGAAGATCTCTCTGAGTTCAAGGCCAGCCTGGTCTAACATAGTAAGTTCCAAGCTAGAGGGATCCTGTCTCAAAAAGACAAAAAAAACCAAACAAAAAAACCCTAAACAAACAAACAAACCAACAAAAAAACAGCATTATTCACTGAGTTTCGGTAAAATATCAACTAATACCCACAATTCTTAGAGCTGACTTTTAAAATATTCCTCCGTGGAGTTGAAGAGATGGCTCAGTGGTTAAGAGCACTGGCTGCTGTTACAGAAAACACAGGTTCAAATCCCAGCACCCACATGATGGCTAACAATTGCCAGTAATCCAGTTCAAGGGAATCCAACACCCTCTTCCGACCTCCGCAGGTGTTGCACAACACAGATACACTTACATGCAGGTGTAACACTCATACACATAAAATTTAAAGAAAATCCTCCCTTTATATGTTATATAAGTGTACGAAGTCAGTTTGTCTTTTTATATCTCAGCAAGACTAGTACGCGATAAAAGTTAGTCCAGAGGCAGATAAAGGATTATCTGTCTGATTCAGCACTGCAAATAAACAATGCCACTCTTACTATTTTTTTGTTTAAAAAATTACTCATTTTGACATGAGTTTATAATGTTAAGAGGATACATTTTTCAATGTCATGGCTTTGATTTTAATTTTTTTTTAATATTTTTGTTTTTGTTTTTGTCTTTTTGAGACAGGGTCTCCCTGTAGCTCCAGCTGCCTGGAACTCACTCTGTAAACCTGGCTGGCCTCGAACTCACAGAGGATCCTCCTGCCTCTGCCTCCCGAGTGCCGGGTTTAAAGATGTGCGCCACCAAGCCCAGCTCTACTGTCAATTTTACTGAGCTAATTTCTATTATTTTCTTGTTTGGAATATAATTTCATCCTTTTTCAGTTTGTTAATTTATACTTAAGCATTTAGACTGTAGCTCTAAACACTAAGCCACCCATGGTGGCTTTAATAAAGATTTGGAAATACTAATCAACAAGGTGAATTATCACATGCACAAAGTCAAATTCATACCAGCTGAGTTTTCGTCATCTCCTAGGATGTGGTTTCGCTGTCTTGTACGACCTGAAGTCAGCATGAGGTCATCATCATCCTCATCCTCATTTATAATCCCTTTTGAAAAAGAAGGGATCTCAACTGCATTGTCATTCAGAAAATCTCCAGCATTACTTGCATCATCTCCATCAAAAAGATCATTGTAATCATTTTCCACTCTGCTAGACACCTTGAGAAAACATATATAAATTAGAATGCAATTAGTAAGTTATTTGGAAAAACAATTATTCAAAAGACAGCTTTTTCTTTTGTTTGTAATGTGGTGCTGGAGACAAGCCCAGCTCCTTGTACAAACTAGGAAAGAATTCTAGCACTAAAGTATGTCCTAGACCCCCAAAGGCACCCTTCTTTTCTGTTTTGTTTTTTATTATTTTATTATTTTTTAAAATAGCAGTGCCCATGAAGGTTCAGAAGGCATCAGATCCCCTGGAAGTGGAGTTACAAACAGCTGTTAGCCACCAGGTGGGTGGGGTGCTGGGAATCAAACCTCAGTCCTGTGCAAGAGCAGCCAATGCTCTTAACCACTGAGCAATTGCTCTGGTCTGTTTTTAATTCTTTTAAGTAAGTTAAATGATTTTTTTTAATGATTGCTTTTATTTGTACAAGTGTTTTGATTGCCAGTATGTTTATTGGTATGTGTGCAGTGCTTGCCAAGGCCAGAAGAGGGCAATAGAGTCACCATGTGGGTGCTGTGCGTGCACTGAATATGGGTGCTCTAGAAGAACAGCAAATGCTCTTAATGAGTCACCACTCCAGGCCCTTGTTTTGTTTTTGAAACACAATCTCATATAGCCCACACTGGCCTCAAGCTCACTATGTTACCACAGCTGTCCTTGAACTTCTGATCCTGCCTCCTCTATCTCCTCAAGTGCTAGAATTACAGGCATACACCACCACACCTGGCTCCTAAAGGTAGGTAGGTATATATATATATGTGTGTGTGTGTGTGTGTTTGTGTGTATATATATATAAAAACTAAAAACTCTGCCAAGTAAGCAAATAGCTGTGATATAAGAATGATTAGTAATACTTTTTTTAAACCCTTTGTTTGAGGTCAGAGGACATGACAGGAATACAGGGGCAAACATTTAAGCAAATACCAGATGACGGCCACTACTTGCAGATACCATCACGCAGCACTACTAAGCCTGCCCACTTTTTGAGTTCTACTGCAAAAAGTACAACTCTTCATTTCCTTCTCTTTATCTCTTTTTCAGATACTGGCTAGAAGCATGCTTTCCCCGACGCTCTGGGCTTTCTCAGTCCTCTAAACTCAACCTCCCAACCCCTCTACCTTTCTACTGCTGCTTGCTAATCTCCATGTCTAGTTTAAAGGAAGTGACTTTCCTCTTCTCTATCTCCTTCCTTCTCAGCAACTGCTAGAATTTTCAGCTTGCCTGCTCTATTGTTTTCCAGTCAAACTCTAATAAAATCATCTTTGAACTTCCTTCTGAGTCAGTTTCTTAAATTCTCTTATTTATTAGTAAGACTAAGAACCCACAAAATGGAACTCCGATTTCTCTGGTAACATGTGGTAACCATGAAGGGACACTAAAGAATCTCTGGCTTTCTGCCTCCACTACCACCATGGCAGCCTCTGAAAAGCTTGTGGTAAGGGGGTAAGGTAGGAACAGCTTTTAAAGATCGCCCTTGAATGCACCCACACTGCAGAAGATGGAATCATGGATGCTGCCAATTTGAAGCAGTTCCTTCAGGAGAGAATCAAAGTGAATGAAAAAGCTGGGAATCTTGGTGGAGGGAATGTAACCACAGAAAAGTGCACAAGCAAGATCACTGTAACTTCCGAGGTGTCTTTTCCAAAAGGTCTGTGAAATAGCTCTCCAAAAAATACCTGAATAATCTACATGATTGGTTACATGTAGGCACTAACAGTGAAGAGTTATGAATTATGTTAGTTACAGATCAACCAGGATCAGAAAAGTGAAAATCAAAACACGTATCTGGAATGTTTTGTATGAATTCATAAATAAACTTTAAGAAAAAAAATGCCTCTGAGGACAGAAGACGTCCTACAACTTAGAACCTATCTAGAAATGATTCCAACAGCTATCAAAGTGCCTGAAAGCAAATCCTGGGTTCACCACTCTTGAGTCAACCCTTAGAGGCCAGGTATGAGCATTATCAAGGGATTAAAATTCATCTTCAAATAGGGATGCAGAAAAAACAAAACGTACAAAAAGAAAAGTATCAAAACGTAAGCAAAAGTTTATCCCTCCGGTGATCCTCCAGAATAAAAGTCCCTTCACATTACTATAATAAACTCACTACACAATCCCTCATTTCTATTATAAGACATGATTTTGTTTTTGTTTGCTGCAGAGGTATGTAGCCCACGCTAACCTGGAATTTTTTTTAAAAAAAATAGTTTATTATTTTTATTTTCTGTGTATGTGTGTATTTCCTGCATGTAGGTAAGTGCACCCGTGTTGTGTAATGCCCGTGGAGGTCAGAAGAGACTGTTGGATCCCCTGAAACTGGAGTTATAAACAGTTGTTAGCTGCCACGTGGGTGCTGGGATTTGAACCTGGGTCTTCTGCAAGAATAGTCAGTGTTCTTAACCGCTGAGCTATCTCTCTAGCCCTCTAACCTGGAATTTTTGATCCTCCAGCCTCAGCTTTGTGAGTGCTGGGATTACTCGGGTGCCACCACATTGCCTGACTTCTCATCTACTTCACTTTTGAACAAGATATTACTCAAGTGAGACACATTTGTTTTATATCAACTCCCTTAAAGCTTAGGGTGATTTTGTTGTTGTTGTTGTTGTTAATGCTTATAGAAATAAGGAAATAGAGCCAATAGAAACATAAGGAGGGGGCTGGAATGATAGCTCAGCAGTTAAGAACACTGGCTGCTTTTGCAGAGGACCTGGGCTCCATTCCCAACACCCACATGGCAGCTAATAACCATCTATAACCAGTTTCAGGGGACACCCTCTTTTGACCTTGGTGGTCATTGCACAACATGGGCACCCCTACATGCAGGTAATATACTCATACACATAAAATAAAAATTATATATATACACAAGGAGATAAGGAAACTCAACAAAGATTAAATCAGCATTTCCTGGGAATGTAAACTTATTGCAGGAGTTAGGTGTCACTACAAACAAGTCTTTAGGATCATTTACAAGGTGAAATAATAAGCAGACACTGCAGAAGCTACAACTTATTTCTACAAGACCAAAGAAACCATACAAATGTTGAGCCAATGTATAACTATATTTTTGTACTATTAGATTCTAATCAGAACACTATTAAGGGATTAAAAATCAATATATCACAAATCTTTTAATTGGAAGTAAATATAATTATGTTTTGGAAAGTTAATGCTTAATAAAAAGAGAATAAAAGTACTACTAAACTCATACATTTAAACATAGAATTTTAGTAATTAATTAAATTAACGACTAGATAGTGTACGACATTTAACTGTTCCAACTATAGCCCTAAATTTCATAAACAAATGTTAGCCCAAAACATTTTTGGGATTTTTTTTTTTTTTTTAAAACTAGGGAAAAAAACTTTTTTTTTTTTGCTTTGCATTTAGGATAGAGTATATAAAAATGCTAACTAGTGTTAAGACAGAAATATGTACTATGATGAATAAGACCAAAATGGAGAAAATGTTCAATTTTACATAGGATTAAAGATTCAGTAAGAATGCTTTGGATTGAAACTTTCTGTTTTTTGTTTTTTGGACTTTTTGAGACAGGGTCTCCCTATAGCTCCAGCTGTCCTGGAACTCACTATGTAGACCAGGCTGGTCTTGAACTCAGAGATCCACCTGCCTCTGCCTCTCAAGTGCTGGGACTACAGGCGTGCATCACCATGCCCAGCCCCTATTAAGTTTTTAAAAAATTTTTATGTATCTGAGTGTTTTGCCTGCATGTATATATGTATATGTGTAGCATATGTATGTGTACCACCTGTGGGACTAGAGGGCCATCCAATCCCCTGAAACTGGAGTTACAGACTAATGTGAGCTGCCATGTGGGCACTGGGAACTGAACCTGGGTCTTCGGAACTAAACCCAGGTCTTCTGCAAGAGCAGTCAATGCTCTTAACCACTATCTCTCCCTTTTATTACTACTTTGAGACAGGGTCTCACTAAGTTGCCCAGGTTGACCTTAACTTGCTATGTAACCTAAATTTTAGCTCTAAAACATTTATCTAACAATCCGTAGAACACACAAATACAAAAAAAATAGCATTTTATAAAGAAAATTCCTTAGAAAAGCATCAAATAGAGGGAATAAAATTTCCCAGTAAAATATTTATGAGAAGGGTTGAAAATATGACTCAGCAGCTAAGAGCACTAGCTACTCTCGCAGAGGACCCAGGTTCCCAGCACCCATATAGTTAATGTCCCTAACTCCAGTTCCAGTGGATACAACACTTTCCTCTGGCCTCCACAGGTATTATGTGGTACAATTACATACATGCAGGAAAACACTGACACACATAAAATTTTTTAAAAATCAAAAAATATTTTAAAATCTATGAGAAATATTAAGTTGAACAAATTTAAAACCACTTGTGATTATTGAGCATCAAGGATAACTTGAATTGTAATTTCACAAGAAAACAAGGTAGTTTACATATTTTCTAAATCCATACAAATACAGAAACAATTGGAAGAAACTGTTCTAGTACATTACCTTATTGCTCGACATTTTTCCACTGGGGTCACAAACATTTTCCAGGAGCCCAAGATTTCCTTGCGCATCAGTATAAGATATTTGACCACAAGCAGGATGCCAGGACAGGCCACAAATTGCATAACCTTTTTCATGTTTTATCCTAAAAATGAGAAACAGTGCATAATCAGTTGGGCTGGGAATGTAACTCAGGTAGAGCACTTGCCTAGCATGCATTCAAGCCCAAGCATCACCAAACAAATAAGCAAACAAACACTGTACATTTAGGTTTTGGGTAAGTTTCAATGAGAAATTTACATAGTGCTGGTGCTGGCAAGATAGCTCATCGGTAAGGGAACTTGCCACCAAGCCTGATGACTGAATTTAACCCCTAGAATACATATGATAGGAGAAGAGAAGGGACTCATGAAAGCTGTCCTCTGAGCTGACAGTACACTCTGGTGTACAAACCCACATGCCCACCCAACCACATGTATAGACATCAAAAATAAATGTAAAAAAATGGTTTTTACAATCTAAAAGCTATTTTCATTTTGATTAGTCGAAACTTTGGAAAATTTCCTAACAATAACAAAAAAGAAATGAATGAGGAACAAAATACTAAATCATACCTTTCCATGCAGTCTTTGGTTTCTACATTCCAAACTACAATTAAGCCATTAATGGTACCTGCAGCTAAATATTGCCCACAGGGAGACCAGGTTACTATATTGAGAGCCTACAAAGAAACAGTTAATAAATAACGGTGTTGTATATCTGAAAACTACTCATTTTATTATCCCAAATTTAAAGTTTTTAGACCCTAGACTATAGAGCCGGGTGTGGTGGCACATGCCTGTAGTCACAGCACTCGGGAAGCAGAGACAGGTGGATCTCTGTGAGTTCAAGGCCAGCCTCATCTACAGAGAGACCCTGTCTCAAAAACAAAAACAAACAAACAGAAAGACCCTAGATTATATTATTCTAATTTCATTTGCTATATAAATGGCAAGATAAAGTAACCTTACTTTTAACTTTCTTTTTCTATAATACCCAACTATTACCAGGGATTATTTTGTTGGTCAGGAGAAAATTAATACCAGCCCAATTTTTAAAGTGAAATATAATAAAATGCTACTCATTCTGAAAAGAGAAGCCACAAGAACTCTTAACCGTCAAGATGAAGACAGCAGCAAGTGAAGCCAACCTTAGGATGTCACTGCTGATATGCCGAGACTGTTTCCTTTACTGCAAAACCACACAAGTCTAAGAGAGTCAACGAATATAGATCCGTAACTTTTTTGCTCTAAGATTTGAGAGGAATGAAATGAGAGACAGAATCAGAAAGAGTAAGAAATTCTGGAGGATATAATCACAAGTCTTACTGTGACTCATGATAAAAATTCAAGAATAACTTGTTCTAACATTGGGTTAAGATTAATTTTACTTCTTATAAATTTATTTTTGGGGTATTTTTTGGGGGGGGGGTCTTTTTGAGACAGGGTCTCCCTGAAACTCCAGCTGTCCTGGAACTCACTATGTAGACCAGGCTGGCCTTGAACTCACAGAGATCTGCTTGCCTCTGCCTCCCGAGTGCTGGGATTAAAGGCATGCGCCACCACGCCCAGCTGGAGAGATGGCTCAGCGGTTAAGAACACTGACTGTTCTTGCAGAAGACCGGGGTTCGAATCCCAGCACCCACATGGCAGCTAACAACTGTCCTAACTCCAGTTCCAGGGGATCTGACAGCCTCTTCTGTTCTCCACTGGCATTGCATGACACAGGTCCACTTACCTACATGCAGGCAATACATGCATACACATAAAATAAAAAATAAAAAAATAAAAAAACATTTATAAAAAATTATTGTTTTATTATTTTTATTTTCTGTGTATGAGTGTTATGTCTGGATGTATGTACATGCATCTGGGTCATGCAATGCCTGTGGAAGTCAGAAGAGGGTGTCGGATCCCCTGTAACCAGAGTTACAGACCACTGTTAGTCGCCATGTGGATGCTGGGAACCAAACTCGGGTCCTCTCCAACATCAGCCAGTGCTCTTTACTACTGAGTCACTGCACCAGCCCCTATAAATATATATTCTCATTAAATCTCACTAAAGAAAAACACCATATAGGCTCTGACAAAGATCTACCTAGTGTCCAGTTATTGATCAAATGAATGAAAGCTGAGGTGGCATAAGACAGGCACATATATAACCTGGTGCTGTTCTTTATTTCCTGTATTTAACCACAACTGTCATTTCATGAAGTAAGCATTAAATATTCTCTATGGCCACTCAAAGTCGCTTACAAAACCTACCTGAGAGATAGAGCTATCTGAAAGATCAAAAGGGTTACTCCAAGTTTCTCTCCAATACAGCTTTACAGATTTTTCCACAGGAATTGCTAGTAACTATAAGGAAAGACGAACAAAAATTTACATTAAATTTAATTTTCAGAGGGAAAAAAAAACATAAAATTAATCAAAACCTACAAAACATAAGAGAAATCTGAATTTCAAGTACTAGTAACAAACCTCAGAAGATCATTTAAAATTTTGATTAAACAAGAAATGGGTGCCCTGACGCTATTACTTATAATGAACACAGAACCAGTAGCTACTATGTCTCTATGTATGTATTTTACATTTCTTCTGTGTGTGTCTGGGTACATACATGCTTTGGTGCACAAGTGGAGGTCAGAGATTCTCCCGTTCCACCATGTGAATTTCCATGGATCACACACACCCAAGTCATCTGGCCTGGAAGAATGTGCCCTTATCCACTGAGTCATTTCATCAGCCCCTTACAATTTCTTATTATTTCTAAAGGAATCTAGCTTTCTACAACTCATTTACTGGAAGGACTTATAGCTATATCTAAAAAGTAATCTCATTTGCTAGTTGGAAATAAAGTCAGTACTTTTTAAAAAAAATTATTTTTATTTATTTATTGTATATGTACATGCATGTGCGCATGTGTGTACCACAGAATGCACGTGGAACTCAAAGGACAACCTGCAGGAGTTGGTTCTGCCCCTCTACCACATGGGTCCAGGGATTGAACTTAGGTCATCAAGCTTGGTAGCAAGCACCATTCCCACTGAGCCATCTCACCAGCCCAAAGTACTTTTTCTTGTTTAATATATTCTTCCCAAAAAACACATTAGTAGAAAGATAAATCTGTGAAAGGCTGAGGGATAGCTCAATGGCAGAACATATACTTAATATATGCAAAATCCAGGACCTCCAGCCCTCAAAAATAAACTCCTAAAAAAAGCCGGGTTTGGTGGTGCATGCCTTTAATCCCAGCACAGGCAGAGGCAGGCAGATCTCTAAGTTCAAGGCCAGCCTGGTCTACATAGTGAGTTCCAGGCTAGCTGGGGCTACAAGGGGACCCTGCCTCAAAAAGACCAAAAAAAAACCCCAAAAATAAAAAACAAAAACCTGTGTATTTTTCCATTTTTTTAAAAAGAGATTAACAAACTGGACATGACGTCACATACCTTTAATCCCAGCACTTGGGAGGCAGAAGCAGATACATCTCTGTGAGATCCAGGCCAGCTTGGTCTACAAAACTTAAGTTCTAGGTCAGATGGAGCTACAGAGAGCTCCCTTCTCAAAAAACAAACAAACAAGATCAACAAATAGTAAAACTATACTAATGTCAGTATTTTTTAAATTAGGTTAATGTTTTGAAGGCAAATATACTAGATTCCCTTTAGTTTAACCATCACTGTAATTCAGATTTTTTTTTTTTTTTTTTTTTTTGAAACAGAATCTCCCTATAGCCCTAGCTGGCTGGAACTGGCTATGTAGACCAGGTTGACCTCAAATTCACAGAGATCTGCCTGCTAAGGGCTAGGATTAAAGCCTGTATCACCATGCCTGTTAAATAACATGGCATTTTCAAAAAATATGGAACACTTCATGAATTTGTGTCAACCTTGCGTAGGGACCATGCTATAATTCTCTGTATCATTCCAATTTTAGTATATGTGATGCCAAAGCAAATGCACACTCTTAAAATGTTCACGTGGAAGCTGGGTGTGGTGGTATATGCCTGTAATCCCAGCACTCAGGATGCAGAGGCAAGGAGATCCTGAGTTTAAGGTAGCCTGGGTAGTCCCTGTATTAAAAATCAAAAAAACCGCTGGGCATGGTGGCGCACACCTTTAATCCCAGAACTCGGGAGGCAGAGGCAGGCGGATCTCTGCGAGTTCAAGGCCAGCCTGGTCTACATAGTGAGTTCCAGGACAGCTGGAGCTACAGGGAAACCCCATCTCAAAAAGACCAAAAAAATAAAAATAAAAATATAAATAAATAAATACCCAAAACAACAACAAATCATTTCTCAATCAGGTCTAGTTCTACTAATCAATGTTAAATATAAGTATAGACTATAAAAGAATGCATCTGAATAGGATGTGGTAGCACAAGCCTGTAATTCCAGCACTCAGGAGGCAGAAATAGGATCAGGAGATCAGAGCCATCCTTGGCTACATAGCAAGTTTGACCCTGTCTCAAAAGAACAAATCAAAACAAAACAAAGACTGCATATGTAAAGTATTTATAAAAGTACTTAAGTATGGGGTTAGAGAGATGGCTCAGAGGTTAAGAGCACTGGCTGCTCTTGCAGAGGACTCAAGTTCAAATCCCAGCACCCACATGGCAGCTAACAATCATTCATAACTCCAGTTCCAGGGGATGATGCCCTCTTTTGACCTCCGCAGGCACTGCACAACATGAGTGCACTTACATATACCCAGGCAATACATTCATACACATAAAATAAAAATAATAAATAAAAAAGAAGCATTTAAGTATACATGTATCTCTTTATTAATAAACAGTAGCATTCTACTTATATCTACTATTCTGTAGCTTGATAGTTTGTACTTAATAATCTTAAAGTTTTTTTATGAGCGCATGAAGTTATTCCTCACCTAACACAGAGAAACCTTGCTTTCAGGATTACCAAAATTTATTTAACCACTTCTCTACAAATGAACACCTAAGATGTTTCCAATCTTATTGAACGGCATGATATTTCTGTTAAATACTGCAGTGCACATGTATAAATACATCTATAGGACACACCTAGAAGGAGCACTGAGTCATTTATTCGGATCAAAACTTTCAAATCTCTTCAACACTGCATGTAAGCCTGTTTGAGAGTTGTTCCATTAAGCATGAATGAGAAGAAAAATACAAAATAATTAATGTGAAATGCATAATGAAAAACAATCTATAAAATGTTGAAATGTGTGCTGGTGAGATGGTTCAACAGGTGACAGCATTTGAGGCAAAAGCATGACAGTCTGATAAACTGAGTTTGATCCCCAAACCTATGTTAAAGGTGGAAGGAGAGATCAACTCCACAGTTGTCTTCTGGCCTCCACACACACTCACACATCATACACAGCATACACACACAATATTTTTTTGTGTTAAATTTGAAATGCTTCTTGAAGCATTTCAGTATTAATTATTTGGCTTGGAATTCTGAAATGTATAATACAAATAAAATTACAAATAAAAACCAAACTATCCTCACATTAAAAGTTAACAAGGACTAAAAGAATTCAAGGGTTGAAAAATAAGTATCATTTACCTTTCCAGTTTTGGGCTGCCAGGCAAGTCTGCAGATGGATTTTGCATTTACTACATCATTGCATTTTTGGAGTAGAGGCCAGCTAATAGCACATGTCTAATTTAAAAAAAGAAGTTTTTTTTATCAAAATGTTTTCCAAAATATATGCAGAACTGAGTTACACTTAATATGTGGTTTCTTCCATTTGATATATGTCCTGAAAAAAAGCCACTTAATAGAATAGCCCATATAT